TATTCCTTCAGCTCCTTGCTGGAGTCTCAGCAGCTTCTAAGCAACTGAGCATCACTGTTGTGGGGATTAGGAAGCGATGGGAGCTCCGTGCAATAGAGCAATACTTGTGTTTGTCTGTTTATAATTCATTTCTATTAGTCTTTTTGTTGTGTATTCATGGCCACGAGCAAGTGCTGCAAGTTATTGTGGCGAAGGAGGTTTAATTTTGCTAATCCTGTTTTATTCCCATTTCAGTGTAGCTTTTTGAATGCCACAATGCGGTGCCTGTAATGAATTTAAAATGTATTTTTGAGTGGTATTGTCTTGCAGAATGTATTGAAAGCTCATCTGAATGTGCTTTAATACTAGATGCTGAAAAGAAAGAAAATCATCCGTCTGAAATGCTGTTCGCATGGACTCTTTCATGCTGGCTGGAAATAACACCCTGCATACCAAGCAGGGAGGAAGCACAAGCCTCTTCCTCACAATACACTCAAACCCCTAACGTGATTGCAATCTTTTTATCTCAGCTAAAAAGCATTTTCTTTCATCCATCTCAATAAGAGTGTTTCTTTTTTTCTTCTTTACCATTTGGTCCAACGCCTAATGCAAACCAGACCTATGCAGCAATTTTCACCAAATTATGATTTATTTGTACTCTTTACACCCGGAAAAGTGCAAATGAAACGATGGCTGCATTGAACAAGGCGCTTTATAAATGCAGCCGTGACTCCATCCTTGCCCGGGAGCTTACAGTGGGACAGGCAAGGCAAATAAGGAGCGAGAAGGGGACACGGTCACAGAGGTACGGTGCCCTGACCCAGGCACGAGCAGCGCTGGGAAGGGGATTCAGCTCTGCTGAGCCCCACTGAAAATTGAAATTTGCTGCCTTTTTATTTGATTTTGCTGCCGCAGGGAGTCCAGGCTGTCGGGTCCAGCTGTCACCGTGTGGTCCTGGGTGGAGGAGCACACATTCAGCTGGAAGGAGGAGAGAAGAGGTTGGTTTTCAGGCAAGTTGAGTCCTTGAGCTGGCTCACAGGAACGGGTGCTGCTGCAGAGAAGGATGCTTGGTGGTTTTTGCTTTTCCTTTTGTTATTCCTGGGGAAGAGGGACCCTCAAAACCTGCATTTCTCAGGCAGGAAGGCTCAGCTAGGTGGGAGGCTGGCTCTGTGTGTGTGAGGAGAATGCAGGGCTGGAGTAAGACGGACCCATGATTTCCTAGCTCTGTTGCGGAACATCCTCAACTTGTAGATCCTCTGAAGTGGCCAACACGAAGAGCCACGTGCCCGTGCTCGACGGATGAAAAGGATATGGCTTTCTGCAGCCATTCGGTATTGCTGTGGGGATCTCCCAGTGCCCCCCGTGCAAAGAGCACCATTCAGCACCATGGGCACATGTGTCGAGAGCGTAGCCCAATGTCAGGCATCATGCTGTTCGTTGGGTGGCCTAAAATGGAGCCTGGATATTGACTTTTCTCCGGGGAACACAAGGATGGGATCAGATCAAAGGTCCTTGCAGCCTAAAAGCCTGTCTGGAAGGCTGCTTGGGGGAGAGGAGGAATTGCTCTGTCCCTTGGAAGGCTTTCCAGGTCCCATCATCCCAGCAGCGAGGAACACGCTGAGGCAAGCAGAGCAACCAACCACCCCTTTTGCTCGTGTTGAACCTACAACACAATTATTGCTTCTAATGCCTCCACTTGCTTGGGTTATGAGAAAGTGTGTGTGATTGCTGCCTCTCCGCCTTCTCCAGGTCATTTGAGATTTCTTTTTTTTATAGATGTCTGTCACATTCCCCGTCCCACTGGGCATTTCTTGTCTGGACTTGAAGAGTCCTATTAGTGATTTAACAGTTAATTATGGCTCTGCAACTCTATGACACCTCTCCCCTCCTTTTTCTCTCAAGTTCTATTTGTGGCATCTGTTACTTAAAGCATCATGTACTAGTAGTAACCCTTAGGCTACGTATATTACCGGTGTTTTAATTCAGAACAGTGCTGCGCTTTGGAGGTGACTCCCACCAGTTGCGTTGTTGTTTCCATGTGTAAAGTGGTTTTGGGGTGCGTGAACCAAATTTCTTTCAGAAGCTTCACTCCAGTTGCCCATCACACATCCTCCAGTCTCTCATGGGACATACAGGTCCATACTGGTGATGGACATACCAGTAAAGGACATATTGGTGATGTCCTTTAGACAACTTCAAACCATGCGTCAGGTGGGGGCCAGACTAAATCTAGTCCAAAGGAAACCCTCAAAGTGCAGAGGGTGCAGCCAAAGCACAGAATGCTTTGATTGCCTGATCATGTCTGATTGCACCAAAGTGTTTGTTAACGTAGGCATATCTTTGGATTTTTATGTTGCTTTTCCTTGTCAGAATATTTTATGACCGTTAAAAGTTCGAAGCACCTTCTTGCCTTATTCCCACTATTGATGCAGAATCTGCATTGCAGGGTGATGATGGAATCGAAAGGCAAAAAAAAAAAGTCATTGACAGAGACACTTGGGTGAAAAGGAGGAGGTTTTGGCTTCTTGGCTTATGTTTAGAGCAGCAGTAGATGCTCCTAACGCGTTGTGTCGTGCTGGCACTTCTGGGCAGCACATTCCCTCACCTTGTTACTGTCAAACTATATCTCCTTTCAGATGCTTTCAACTTACTGAAAAAGTACCTGCTCGGGTGAAACATGTCCTACGTGCTTTGGGCAAGGAAAGGCTTCTCATTTTGGTGCCTTGCATACGATGATATGTTCAGAGAAACAACATGCGATAGAAACGTGGTGGTTGGGCTTAAATCAACATTTTTTTTTTTCCACTAGAGAAAAGAAAGTAATTTTTGTGAATATAGATGGGTTTCGAAGTTCATCTTCCTATGAAGATGTCATATTTTTTTAAAGCAGTGGTAGGTAGGTGTCATACAGCGTATGCAGACACATAACGTGTGTGTTTGTCCGCAGTTTGAGGTATAGGTATGAGAGCGTCCTGTATCCACTGCGTCCTACGCCGAAATAGCCTCCTGTGTTGAATGGGGTCCGTATGGCAGCCCAAAAGCCAGGCTTTCGGACGGACACTTACAGAAGGCAGTGTTCACCGTCTCAGAGACAGATGACATTGGGTTTTCTCCTGTAAATGAGAACTCAAGCCAGAAGGCAAACACCCGCTTGCCAGGGGCAGGTTTGCCGAGACTTGGAGCACTGCCTGGGGACGTGAGGACCAAAGGGCCGTAAAACCCTTACGCTTGAATGTAAATCCCCAGCCATAATGTCTCACGGACCTGGAGTTTTGCACTGATTTTCCTGTTGATCTTCTTAAGAGCTCCACGTGCGTTCCTAAAGCCGCTGGTGTAAATACGTGTCTCTTCCAGCTTTCTCTCCCAGCTCGCTTTCTAACCGTGATTTCCTTTGCTTTGAGAATTGCTCCTTCTGTGCTAACTTGGGGGTGGAGGGAAGGCTAATTAATTAAGCAGTAATTGTTGTCAAGTCAATTGGTGCTAACATTTAACATTTGACTTGTTTACTATCCTGAGGTAAAGCGGAAGAAGTTAATGACCTAACAAATCGTGCATCCATCATGGGCGTCTTGTTTGGAAAGAAGGGTTTTGTTTATGAACTGTAAAATCATACATTTAAAAAACCGCCACATTTTGAAGCAAGATCGTTGAGGTTCTTGTGTGAAATTGTCACTAGATAGCTGTGGAGACAAATGCGTCGCCTAATAAAGCTTAATGACTGATTTTCCCATTAATCAGAATTGAGAATGTGCTTCATTAAGATAATTAACTGAGCCAGTTGCTTAACTGACAGTTAGTAGACACAAATTCCCCAGTTACTTGCTTTCCTCTAAATAAAACTCACAAGAAGCTAACCCGGCACTGCTTCATCATCTTTAGTGGAAAGAGAAGCAGGAGGGCTGTTAAAATCTCATTGCTCGCCTTAGGTCCGTGACTGCATCTCCCCGTCGGGGACAGCGGTGGGATGCGGTGGGTGGCCCTGGGTGCACCCAAGCCTTGGGCTCGGGGTTATTGCAGTCAGCTCATGCTGAAAGCTCACAAATATTTGCCGCTTTCTATCTCACCGGCAGCAAATGCTCTTTTATTTGCTAATTTCTGAAAGGTCAGGTCTTCGTTGTGGTTGTTTTTGGCACCCAAGAACTATTAGCTCCTCCAAGGGGGAGAATTCCTTGTCAGAATTTGTGGCTTCTCCTCTTTGTTCATCGCAAGCTAGAAGTGGGGTCAGGAGTCCTGAGCCCCCCTGAAGGCAGGGATGTGTGAGATTAATCTGCTCCAGGTACATTTGTAGGCAGAATATGCAGCGCTGAAGAAGTTAGGGGAATTAACTAAGAGATCCAAAACTTGAATTATTAAATGTGCTATCTGGTTGTAACGTCTAGTTGTAAATCCTTTCCTTCGCAGCTCTCTGTGTCTTGAATTATAACACGGTAATGCTATCACGTAGCAGAAGACTCTGCACAGAAGACGACTCTGGAGCTAACGTAAGGCAGTCGTCTCAACTCTGCTTTTCTTTTGTCCTCAGAGTTCCCGGTCTTCCACCATGAACCCTGTTTACAGCCCCGTCCAACCTGGGGCTCCCTACGGAAACCCGAAGAACATGGCGTATACAGGTAGGACCGGTGTTCAGCGGCTCTTCCGTGAATGTCCGTATTCGGTGGCGAGAGCAGATGATGATTAATGAGTGGTTAATCCCTTAACGAAGGGAGAAGGAGTTCCCATAAGGGAGCCAGATGGGAATGCGACTTGAAGGAAAAACTCTTCAGCAAAACCAATGCAGTCAGGTTAGTGAGAAGAAGTGGATCTGAATTCATAAGAAGAGGATGCCTGGGAAATCCTAAGGAAAAGGATCAAAAGGGGGTTTCTTTAGGCAAACAAAACATGCAAGAAGTTGCTGGGGGAGTCAGCTGGGAGCTGGAGGGCTTGCCTCCGGAGCTGAACCGAGCGACTTGGGTGCACGTGCTGGAATAATCCTGGCAGAGAAATGAGGATCCCGCAGGCGAGAGCCCGTTATTTGGAGAACCCGCAGTTATTGTTATAGGTGGTGATTTAAACTGCATTATTGACTGATTTTTTTTGTTTTCAAATTATGCTTTGGTTGAGTTAACAAGCAAGTCTGATGTCTGTTTGAAGTCCATCTTTAGAACTGAGTTGTCTAAAAATGTCATCTTTGGTACTTGAAAAAGGCATTGAAATATGTTTACCATAATTATGTAACTAGTGGGGAACTAAAGTGTACTGATATGGAAAGAATTTAGCTCGGAGAGGAATAGTGCTTCGGAAAAGGAAAATCTCAGCTTAGGTGTATCTGTGGTTTTCCCCATGGATTGTGTTTACCAGCAGTTGTTCTGATCTTGTATAAGCACCTTACAAAATCCGCCGTGGAAGACTCCTTCTTCTAACATTTTCTTGAATATAATCAGCTATTAAGTGTCATATTGCGTTAAGATTTCCTTCTTTATATTTGCCTCGCCAGTTGTATGCGTTGACTTTTGCCTAATGTGTGAAATAGCTCGGGAATGGGCTTTTCTGGAGGAGAGCGGTCAACAGCAAATGGAAATGAACATCAGATGCTCTTAGCTACTTCATTTACAAAATCTTCTCATTGACTTTGGTAGCTGTTTCAGCTGGTAGATCAGTAGGGCTGGCCGCGTTGCTGCGAGGAGACCTGTCTGATACTCTGCGGAGCGGAGAGTTCCTCAAAGGCGTTTTACCCCATTTTTATTCACCCGTTCTTTTTCCCCATCAAATTTATGCATGCTGCTTTGTTGGAGATACTGTAGCTCGGGGAAACTTTGGTCTCACAGTCAAAGCTCTAGAGGCTTGGGAAAAAAAATCTCTGTGAATAATAGTCTTCAAAAATATCACCATTGTAAGAGGACTGCAGACTCCAGCAGTGCTTGGGTGATAGAATGAGCTCATAAGTGCACAGTTATTTTCCCACACTAGAAATAACAGCAATTTTGTGCTGCACAAGGATGATTTGGACAAGAGTCTACTTCTCTCCCACTTTACTTTTTTTTTTTTTGGCGTGTGCTCAAAGCTCCACCTTAATATCCATGCAATGTAGATTTTCTGTATCTGCTTTCATACAATCCTGAATGTTTTAGAAGCTGCTTTCTGGCACTTGATAAGACAATTTTATTTAAATGTTGAGGTGCAGATTGGATAGAGTTTGTACCTTGACCTTTCTGGAAGGAGAATTTGAGAGGGTGATTTCTGGTTTAGATGAATGAATTCTACATGACTGCATTCTGAATAAGTCAAATGGCAACATTAATAGGATGTTATCTTCTAAAATAACCTGCTGGTTAATCACCATGAAGATTGTACTGTGCACTTAAAGATATAAAGCTATTGTCTGCCTTGGCCAGCTTGTGCCAGCTCTGGTAGGGATCATGGCGAGGTGGCCCCCATGAGACTGATTTTACCCCAAACCATTGGACTTCAGGCATTTGTCTTCCAGAATTTGGGGTACGTGAAGAGAAATCAGTGGCAGATGTGCAGGATGACCTTGGAGAAAAAAGTCGGAGGCAGATCAGGCTGGAAAAAATATAACCGGGTGCTTAGTTATGTCAATGGAAAAACAAAGAAGGGAAGATTTAAGGTCAATATGAGTGAGCAGTGTGCTGCTGCGGCCAAGAAGGCTGAGAGGATGCTGGGTTGCAACAAAAAGGGCATCACCAGCAGAGATAAAGAAGTCATTATCCCTCTCTACTCGGCACTTGTCAGGCCACACCTGGAATCCTGTGCACAGTTCTGGTCCCTGTTATACAAAAAAGCTGTGGTCAGGCTGGAGGGGTCCAGAGAAGGGCCACCAAGATGATCCAGGCTCTGGGCAGCCTGCCGTATGGGGACAGGCTGAGAGAGCTGGGCTTGTTCAGCCTTGAGAAAAGGAGGCTTAGAGGTGATCTCATCACCATGGACCAGTGCTTAAAGGGGAGCTACAAAGCAGATGGAGACCCCCTTTTTACAAGGAGTCCCATGGTGAGGACAAGGG